AGCGCACTGCACACACTAAACGTAGAAAATTCTCTTATTTGCCTTGACGGCACACGAATACCAACAGTGTCCATGATGGAATTGCAATTTATTTTGCCCTTAAATACATTAATAAGAAGTAAAGCATCAAGATGCCGTCGTCTGGTATAAAGTGTTCTGAAATTTAAAGTAGTTAAAATCAATTCATATTTACGTGGGATATTAAACTGAAAAAACCGGTAATTGCACAAACTGGCAAATTTCCTTTGGATAGTTTCTAATTTATTAGAACCTGTCTATGTAAGATTGTTCCATACAACCGAAACATACTCAAGCTTTGACCTAATTAAAGCATTATATAAAACAACAAGTCTGTCTAGAGAGGAAAATTTATAAGTAATAAAACGAATAAGCCCTAAGGTCCTTAGTGCCTGAGAATGAACACAATTTACATGACAGTGAAAATATAGTTTATTGTCTAGCAAAACACCAAGATCATTTATACAATTAGTACGAAAGATTAACAAGTCACTAATAATGTAATTAAAATGGATACTGTTGGTTTTCCGTGTGAAAGATATAATTTCGGTTTTCTCAATGTTAAGTTCCATATTGTTAACATCGCACCACTGATGTACAGAATCAATATCTGCTTGAAGAAATTTGCAGTCATTCACCGATTTTATATCATAATATAGTTTCAAATCATCAGCAAATAAGAGAAATTTTGAATACTTAATTTTGTCACAAATATCGTTAATAAAAACATTATATAAGAGAGGTCTCAAGGTAGAGCCTTGTGGAACTCCAGATAACACCGAGTAAGCTAAAGAAGACTGTCCTAAAATACGAACAAAGGCAGATCTAGCAGATAAATAAATTTGGACCCACTTAACGTAAGTAGAAGATAGTCCAAAATTATTAAGCTTTTTTAAAAGAATAGAATGCGGGACTGAATCAAAGGCTTGCCTAAGATCAAAGTACACAGAGTCGATCGGTCCCTGTGAACAAACAAATGGCTGAACATCATTAATCAGGTCAAGAGCGCAGACCACATCTGCTGCACTTTGGGCTGCATGGGTTGATAATCCACTAGACCTCACAGCTCTTTAATTTCAGCCTTTAGGACTGTGTTATCACTTTTAAGAAGGGTGACATCCTCTCTCAATTTATTTACACTATCCACCAACGATTCAATCAGGTCAAGTGCACAGACCTCATTTAGACGTACAGTCTCTAGTTGAACACACATAGCCTCATATTTATCAGTCTCGCAATTGTCGGCATCAGTACATAGTGGCAAAACAAGAGACCTTTCAGGAGAAACCGCTTTCTTGGAAAGGTCAGAGGTGGAACATGATCGTGTTTTAATCGGTGTATCATCGCTTCGCTGCGATCTTAGATTCTTAACGCAGGATGCGCACTTGAAGGTGGAAACCCCTGAATCCATAAAATATGTGTATTCAGATTCACTGATCTGAAGGCAGCCAAGATGAAATCTATTGGCGCAGGGTCCACAACACTTAATATATTTTTGTTTGCCATAAAAAGCTTTGCCACACACGCCACAAGAATCTTTACTCGCAGGCATGGTGGCCACGGAAGTTACTGGACTCCCGTCAACTCGTAGCTAGAATTACGATGAAACAGCAAATACAGGAGCAAAAAACACAAACGTCCATACACCTCGAAAGCTAAGCTACGAGTAATATAATGGCATTACACTCAAAGCTCTGAAATAACATAAATAAAATAAAGGGAATTTAAAAAATAAATAAAGATATAGAGTGACGTGTGGTCAGCACGACGAACCCCCAGCCATTGCTAGCTTTCCTGACTGGATTACGCTACCCATTGTAGCTCCCCACTGTTTGTTTACCAGGTGGTGACATTGGCAGTTTACTCATATTTTGTAGCATGCATCATGGGAAGACAGTGGGTAGACGGAGGAGATGAAAAATTCATTAAGTACTTCCCTATGTTCACAGCATTACAAGCAAGAAGTATTCTGAATAAAAATGTACTCCATATTCGAATGCAGATAACACCATAGATCTACAAGGTTTAGTTTATGAAAGTATCATACCCTGAAGTCATGTAACTCTTACCTTGGAGTTAATGAATATCCAAATATCAGTAAACTAGTTTCTGTGTGTTTATATGACCTGTAAAAGTGAAATGTCTCTGGGAAGATCATCATTTTTCATGTATGGTTATCATCTGCAATGCTCTTTTGTGAATGATTCATTTTAATTATGTACTGTAATTCTCAATAAATGAAAGGAGAATATAATATTTACCAAAATAATAAATAAATAACAGTAATAAGTAATATAAAATGGAATTTAACTTAGAAACTCATATTGATTATGAAAAACCATTTTACCAGGACAGCTGCAATAAGCTGTGGCAAATATTACAGAAAAGAGCTTACCCACTTTACTTGGCACAAGTTGTATAATTTGTATCTCCAGAAACAGTTCTAGTAGATTTAAATTGATTGTCATATCAGACTTAAATCTTTGCTGTAGACCTTCACTTACTTCGTGGAGCCGAGTCGTTCCTGTGTTCGTAGCCACGTTAAATTTGGGGTCTTCATTAATAAAAGTATAGTTCAGCATGCTGCTACATCACACTAAATACCTTCTGGATGTGCAGTTCATTTTCCTTACCTGGATACACTGGGCTAATAAAGTTTAAGTTATGTAAATGCATAAGAGCTCTGTGGTATTGATTTGAACTTGTGCAGATGGTTGCTGTTTCATGCGACCTCCATGTTTCTGTTTCACACTTTACCAAGAATCCCTCTGACAAAAGTAAATAGTGGTTTGAGCAGTATCATTAAAAATTTAAAATATATTATTTTGTTAAGTATCTGTAAATTAAAATTATTTGTTGTGGTTTCTGTTGTTATAATGAAATATTTACATGTGAAATAATATGTCAAAGTCTATTTTGCACTTTGTTTAGATCCTCTTCTACATGGGATGGCTCAAAGTGGCAGAGACTTTAATTAATCCATTTGGAGAAGATGACGATTCTGAAGTAAACTGGCTGGTAGACAGGAACCTACAGGTAAGTGAGAATGCAGATGAGAGAGAGAGAGATGTCCAAGACCTGGAAAGTAATCATTTATCTGTTCTGTTTTAATTACTGTCTCATTCCTTGCCCCAGAACATGATATTCTTTAATTTATAATTATCTTATATACTAGCACTGTTACTGCAGCGAAATTCAATGAATGTTTACAAGTCTACAAATTCTTAACACAACTCTTCTGTCTTGTTTAATTAGCTAGTACTAAACTTGTTAAGCTGTAGAAACCATCTCAGCCAGGGCTCAAACCAGGACACATTTTTCAGGATTGTGACCTTTGTTCCCATCTTCTCCTTGGCAAAACAAACCATTTTGGTCTTTGTGCTGTTCTTTTATGATGTTTAATTTTTGAGCTACAGAAACCATC